CAAAATAAAATGTGAGTGACAAAAATTAAAAATATTTTTTTAATTATTTTAAATAATTCAATTGAATTGTTGAATTGTCCTACAGCGAGTTCCTCAGTGGTGAGCCGGCCATGGTGGGTTGTCCTGGGGTGAGCTGGCTGTGGTGGGTTTGGCCATGGTGAGTTGGCTGCGTCCCATTCCGGCCCTCGATAGTATCGACAATAGAAGTTTCTATGAAGTGTTTTTTACCGTGTAAACCGTAGCTGCAGTAAGCCCAACTATAAACAAAGTAGGATTCCTGGCCTTCTGTGCCTCCTCATTTTTCTCTTTGCCAGCTTTGTTTTGTTTATCTAACATATTGCAATTGTCTGGCAGAGTCTGTACAGCACTAGGTTACACATAGCCTTACATGAAAAGGGCCGTTGCTGCCAAATGTACTGTTTATATCCCTTTTAAACACCAGGATCAAATGCTTGTGTTCTTCGCCCCAGGAGCCCTGGGCTCAGGGACAATGGTGCACTGTTGCTGGGAAAGTGCTAGCCATTAGGGAGAGCCCTGAGCTGGCTCTCTTAGCCGTCTCTCCCAGCATGATTTACACTCCTTGATTCAGTGTCTCCATTTGATTCCCAGCAGGTCCATCAGACATCTCCCTTGAGAAAATAGTCTGGTCCATCTGAGTTGTATAGCTCTGCAGGCTTCTCCATTCATCACGAAACATTTTTTTTCTCCCTTTTCAAGCAAAAGGGAGGCCAGGGCACTCCCCACTACCATTGAGTTTCACCCTGCAGGACATAAAGGAGACACAAAACTGTGCTGCTCTTGGGTTAATCTTCTCTGTCAGCAGCATATCACTTAGACTTCATCCGTTTCAGGCGGTCTGAAATAAGTTTGGAAATCTTGGCCCAGGAAGCATAAACTAATACACTCTTTAAAAAGTAGCATTCTTAAGACATGTATTCTCAGAGGGAGCCCTTCCAGAGCAGAACCTTATGTTGCAACCTACTATGGTTTGAGACAGTAAATTGACTGTTGCTATTATTACTACAAGATTGGCCTTCTATGGAAGTGAAAGTAAAATTTGGAACTTGAACAAGTGGGATGGAAAAGTTATTGATGCTTTTGAATCTTTCTGCTGGAGAAGACTCCTGGGAATACCATGAAAAAAACCCCCACCAAATACCAAGAAAGTAAAGAAATGAATAATCAAATACTGTACATCAGCCTAGAATTCTTGCCTGAGATGCTAATGACTCAAACTATCCTGCTCTAGATATATTATGCAAAGAGCTACAGAAGCTCTCCGGAGAAATCTATAGTACCAGAAAAAGTAAAAGGAAAGAGAGGAAGAGGACCACCAAGATTCAATTACAGCAGCAATGGATAGACTGTTGGAAAACTGAAAACCTGTAAGAAGAGATCTGGTTGGTTGGCTGCTCCACTAATGAATCCAGAAGAGGAAACACTCTCTCTGAATAGTAGCTCCTTGATTTGGGGATACTATTCAAATTACGACTACTGTCATAACTCTGTTCTAAAGGACAATGCTGGAGACAGAACATTGTGAAAAAAATCTATCTATATGGTCATTAAGAGTCCGCACTGTCAGTCAGTCAATCATTATAAGAGTAGAACTATGTCTCCCGATAATAACCATAAAAGGCCATTTAGAACAACTCTGCCTGAAGAATTTTTAAACTTTTACCTATTGTTTGCTTATGGGAGCTATATCTGGGCTGCAAAACTCCAAAAACTTGCAAAACTTGACTAAGGGGTAGCAGCAACCAGTTAGTAAATAAAATCTTCCTTGATACAAGTTTCACTCCTATACTATTTTTGGCAGCAATTTCAATATTGTTTCTCACTACCTTGTCCTGGGTTTTTATTGTTGTTGTTGTCCGATGACCTCCAAGGTCCCTTCAAACTTTATTATTATTATTATCGATCATCACACAGTCAGCCAGATGTTCAGACTGGATTTGGCATTTTGTCTACCTACTGAGTCCTTACCCAGGACCTGGGATAGGCAGATGTGGATGTTTGATGGTATTACAGATATCGTCGCAGGATGGAAGCAGTTCCTAGTAAGGCCCCCTTTTGCAATTGACTAATAGCGAATTTGTCAATGCCAATGTTGTTCAAGTGGTGCTCCAGTTGTTTTGGGATTGCACCCAAGGCACCTATGACTATTGGTACTACCCTTGCTTGCTTTTGCCACAGTCTTTCTATTTCTATTTGTAGGTCTTTGTATTTTGTTATCTTCTCCGGTTCTTTCTCATCTATTCTGCTATCCAGGCACTATTATTATTATTATTATTATTATTATTATTATTATTATTATTATTATTATTATTATTATTACCAATGGTGTCCCATCAAAACCCTGGCCTGATATAACCCAGTTTAGGTTGAGAGCCCATTCAAGGATAGGCAGGTGCTGCTACTGGCTAAGATAAGGTATAATAAGCCTCAGAAAATGACATCAAACCTGCTAATTCTTTTGGGGCAATTATTCCATTTTCTAGTTCCAACTTTTCAAGTTCTTACAGGCTTGAGGATGGAGGTGGTGAAAAACATCAAATCTGCTGTTTCAGATGATTATTTCTTATCATAAGTGCTCAACAGCATTGCTATGTAGATGCACAAGTTGCATATGTATAAAGAAACTCATTCTGTCTACTTGCTCACAATCCAGTAGTGATAAGCCTTTTAAGTATGACAACATATACATCTCATATAAGTAATGGGAAAAACAACAGCTCTGAGTCAGATTCTCCCTCATGTAAGATAACATGTTCTCAACTTATTGTAGACACTTGTAGCCAATGAAAAATAAGATCACACTTGGAAAATTGCATCCAGTTTGCTCGCCACAATATAAAAAAGATGTCAAGATTCTAGAAAGAGTGCAGAGAAGAGCAGCAAAGATGATTAGTGGACTGGAGGCTGATCTTGGAGTCCTGGTGGACAATTGCTTAACTTTGAGCAGGCAGTGTGCTGCAGCTGCCAAAAAAAGCCAATGCAGTCCTAGGCTGCATTAATAGAGAGATAAAATCAAGATCACATGAAGGGTTAATACCGCTTTATGGTGCCTTGATAAGATCACCCTTTGAATATTACATCCATTTTTGGTCACCACAATATAAAAAAGATGCTGAGACTCTAGAAAGAGTGCAGAGAAGAGCAACAAAGATGATTAGGAGATTGGAGGCTAAAACATATGAAGAATGGTTACATGGTATGTCTACTCTAGTGAAAAGAAGACTAGGGGTGATATGATAGTAGTTTCCCCAATATCTAAGGGGCTGCCACAAAGAAAAGGGGGAGCAATTTATTCTCTAAAGCACCTGAAGGCAGGACAAGAAGAAATGGATGGAAACTAATCAAGGACAGAACCAATCTATTTATTTATTTATTAATATTTATTTATTAATAAAATTTATATGCTGCCCAATCCCTAGGGACTCAATCTAGAACTTAAAGAGAAATTTTCTGACAACTAGAACAATCAATGGAGTGACTTGCCTCCAGAAACTGTAGGTGCTCCAAACTGGAGGTTTTTAAGAAGAGACTGGACAACTATTTGTCTGAAATGTTATAGGGTTTCCTGCTTGAGCAGCGGGTTGGACTAGAAGACCTCCAAGGTCTCTTCCAATTCTGTTATTCTGTTATTTTCCAAGATCACCTAAAAGCTATAAAATCAATCAGTTAAAATGTTTAGCACTTCTTCATTTGTTCCTAAGGAGCTTTATTCTTTGTATGTACTTTTGCTGAAACCCAACACCAAATTTGATGTCTTCCATCCTCAAACTCAGTAAGAGCTTGAAACTTTGGAGCTAGAAAAATCATGCAATTATTATTTCAAGAGAATACAATCAGTAGGCTTCATTGGTTTCAAATAATAAGCCATGGTCTATTTTAGCTATGATTTATTGAATAAGCCACAGTCAGTTGAGTTCATATAATATTTAAGCTATAAAAATAATTTAAATGTTGCAATTCACATAAAATTGAAAAATTGAAATTATATGAACCACAATTACTGTATTTATAAGCCTGGCTTATAAATATTGAATTCTTTTTTTTTTTTTTTTTTTGCCATTTCTGTACTGGAGATTTTAATCCCATCATTCTGTTTGGGGGGGGGGGAAGCAGGAATCTAGTTGTACTTTTTCCACCTAAAATATTTTATTAAAAATTGAAATTAAATCAGGTGCAATTCATGAAAGTTTATGCCTTTTAATACAATTTGTTAATCATAAAAGATGCTACCAAACTCCTGATTTTCTGCCACCATAGATTATGATTAATCTCTTTCTAATCTAGACTGTCACTGGGAAGGACCAGTTTTTCAAGGAGCTGAATCTCTTGCCATCTTGCCCATTTGCCCATCTCAGGAAAACTGAGTATGGAAAAGAAGTGGAGTGGCCAGGAACAGCTGCAAAGCTTAATCCAACAGGACTTGAGAGATCAAGGCTGATGTATGAATTGTCCTTTTTATTCTGGGATCTTTTAGGCTAAGTAGCATGAGCCATAGCAACCAATGAGGGACAAAATTGTGCAACACAGCAACAAGAGGAATTAAGTTAGGTCTGCTAAAATGTCCCAGGAAAAAAAGTAAGGAGTCACCACAGCCTGGTGTTTTTAGTAGCGCCCTTGTTTTTCCTCACCTCAAAGAAGATTGCTGTAAATTTAACCAGTTGCCATCTATATTAACAGGCAAAAATGACCACAAAATGTCCCTGGCAGCAATATGCTTCCTCCCCTTCCTCCTTGCGCAGTTGCTATAAAGCCGGACATCAATTTTGTCCTACCATACGAGGGGAGAAGCAGCTGGCTAAGTGGATTATTGCAGTTTAAATGCAGAATCTGTTCCAAAGGTTTCACTTCCCAGAAGCTATTAAGAGAACAGCCGCTGTCTCTGCATCAGTAAGTCGCACCCTTGTTAACATATATTAAAATTAGCACAAAAATTTTAGACAAGAACTGGATCTCTGGGGGGGGGGCATTTGGAAAGCGCTTACCCTGCCTTTGTTTTCCATTGTAATAGCAATCTGCATTCTTCCTCTACAGAAAGCAAGCCGCTCATCCCTCTCTTCTTCGCGGATATCTGGGCCCTCTGCTGGATTCCCAGGCTCCTCAGATCCCCATTTTTCTTGGACAACCCGCTTTCCCTGCAAAGGGACGAATGAGAATTACAGACAAATGCCCGCTCCGTTTCACATCCCTTGTAATCCATGTGAAGTGTGGTGGCTTAGAAAAAGAACTTGACTTTGGTGCCAACCATAATTAGAACTATTTCACACTTCCTTTCTGCTTGGATAGGTTCTGATTAAAAGCCCAGTCTCAATAAATGAGGAGGGAGAAAAAATTCCTGATAAACTCAAAATGTTTATCTATAAATCTATAACAAACACCATGCAGTGGTGTTAGGGTACTGTCATGTTGGGGTTCCATCTTTTATTAAGGGTAATTTGTTTGGGGCTGTTGCCTATCAACAATCAATTGGACAGCCGCAATTTAACATTTGTTACAATGTGTTGTAATATTTTCTAATAGACTAAAAATTATATATCACACAGATAGAAAGGCAGATTCGGGAATTTTGCCGTCTATTTTGTTTTATTAAAAGTCTGAGATTTATGAATTTGTGCTGGGTGACAAAGCATAGCTTAGGAAAATGGACGCGAGGCTGAGTAACAAAGTAGAAGGCTAAAGGCAGGAATTTGATTTCAGTATCATAGTTTGCCACAACCAATTCACCACACCAATCTATTCTCTCTAATCAGCCTGATTACTAGGGCAGATTTTTCTTTTTTGCTGTTAAGTCAACATGCTAGAAACCTGTTTTGATCTCACAAATGAGGGCAAATATACGTGTCCCAGGATAATGTTGTAGGATCCAATTGGGTCAGTCACCGAGACAAGAGCTTTAGTCTTTTGAGCTTTTGGACTCGCACTGGAGCCCATCCTGAGGGAATTTCTCTCTCACCAGAATGTGTGTGAGAGAAGTTCACATTCTGGTGAGAGAGAAGTTCCCTGAGGATGGGCTTCCACACATGTCCAAAAGCTCGGAAGATTAAACCTCTGGTCCCGGTGACCAACTAAGATTGGATCCTTTTTGATCTAATGTAGAAATCTACTAATACATCTTAATCTACAGTATACCTTCCTCTACTGAATAAGTGGAATATTCTCCCATAAAGATTGCCACCAATAGATTATAAATAATAATTACAGTACCCCTAATACTTACATAGATTTCATTAAAAGGCATTTGAATAAATGCTGTATACATTGTGAATCAGTCTCCTTGCTTATAAAGTTTGTTGGGTCATGTTCTAGAAATCAGGTTTAAAACCTGCTAAAATAAGAAGCTTGAATGACTCTTAGTAGAAATTCTGAAAAACTAAACGAAAAGAAGGATGCCAAATCTGCTTATATATCAAATTCATTGGATATCTTTAGATGGAGAGAGTAAGGAATGTGACCTTGACAGAAATATGCAAGGCTGAACCATTTTCAGGTTAGAACAACAAGATAACATTGGAAGCAGCTTAGGCAGATCTCTTCCTAATTCATTGGAGCAAAACAAGGGAGAGGAGGTGGAGTACAAACGATTTGCAAGATTCTATTATTATAGCAAATCTCAATAAAAATTATCTTAGCTTTCCTGTCAAGCTGATTTCCAGGTCTGGTTTACTTCATGAGGCTGACAGGGGGCAATTCATTACCATCATAACACTGTGCCTATTTCCTTAGAAGCAGGTCTTTCTATGAGCAGCAGAATGTACTTCCAACAAAGCTAAATTATCTACAATTTAGATTTGTAAAGTTCACCCAGAGTCCCTGCTGACCTGGGCAAACCATTTGAAATATAATAAATAAAGCTGATTTCGTACTATATGTGATTAATATTTGAAAATGAGTAATACAAAAATGCTACAACTGCTTTTATTTGGTGCCTTTAAGTCAATGTTGATGATTGGCAAGATTTTGGAAGTGGTTTGACGTTACCTGCTTCCTAGGGCTGAGAGAGACAGAGTGAATGGCACAAGATTACTCAGCTGGCTTTGTACTAAGGCAGGACTAGAATTTGTTTAGTCTGGCTCTCTACTACAACTGCTAGCTCCTTTTTATCCTTTCTTGTGGTACAATGGAATTTACAAGGAGTCTCCCTTTATTTTATCCCAAGTGAAGGATGCTGAGCATCTTAAAAATCACCCAATGAGCTGCATAGTTGAGTGAAGACTTGAATATGGTCTTCTTAGTGTAGTCCTCCTCTTTAACCATTACTGTTTAAACCAGGGGTCTTCAAACTTGGCCCTTTTATAACTTGTATACTTCAACTCCCAGAATTCCTCAGCCAGGCATGCTGGCTGAGGAATTCTGGGAGTTGAAGTCCACAAGTCATAAAAGGGCCAAGTTTGAAGACCCTGGTTTAAACTATAATGTATTAATCCAAGGTCATGCAGGGATGGAGAGCTTTTTTTCTAGATCAGATGAGATTTGAAGTTGTATTTTCACATGACCCACAGCACCCAGAGCCATACCTTTTCCCCTCAGTCCGGGTTACTAAGCAGCGTGCTGCCAAGAATTGGGCAAATAGAAGCAGGAATTGGAAGGAGGATATGAACAATGTGATCTGGGGATTGAGTAGATAAATAAGTATGTATTACAGTATGCCTTTACTATTGATTTAGCTAGTAGATAACCACCGTATTTAGGAATCATGTTGTTGATGATGATTTTCGCTTTGTTATTTTTATTGTATAATTCCCAGAGTCACAAGCACTGTAACAAATAAACATGAGATCATCGATCTAGTATAATACAGTAGATCTATGAATGGAAATTAATTCCCAGGTGATAGCTACTAAAGCAATGCAGGCTTTGTTAAAGTATTTATGGCATACTTTATTTATATTTATAGCAGTATTCCAATATCTCAGGGGCTGCCATAAAGAAGAGGGAATTAAGCTATTTTCCAAAGCACCTGAAGGCAGGACAAGAAGCAACGGGTGGAAACTAATCAAGGAGAGAAGCAACCTAGAACTAAGGAGAAACTTCCTGACAGTGAGAACAATTAATCAGTGGAACAGCCTGCCTCCAGAAGCAGTAAATGCTCCAACACTGGAAGTTTTTAAGAAGAGACTGGATAGCCATTTGTCCGAAATGGTGTAGGGTTTCCTGCCTGAGCAGGGGGTTGGACTAGATGACCTTCAAGGTCCCTTCCAACTTTACTACTATTACAATCTATTGTGTTAATATTTTTCTTGAATTTGCGATGCTTCTGAAACACATATGAAGAAATCTGCAATAGCTATTTTTTACTGAATACCTAATATAAGATCTTTAAAATTAACACAAAATCCAAGAGAACTGGAAAAAAAGGGGTGGGGGGAAATACTACATACAAGGTCAGAAGAGTAGTGTTTGTAGGAAAGCAAGCAAGAGATCTTCCTCAACTGCTTCCTTAAAATGTTATCTCCAAGGATTCAACCATTGTTTTTTTTGTAAACCCACCTTGCCTTTGTTGTCCATGGTCACGGCCAACTGAACCCGTTTCCCCATCCTGAATGTGAACACGTGATCACTTTCTTCATCGTCTTCCTCACTACCAACCCCAAAGCTTGAGGCAGAAGAGCAACTGCTTCCCCACTTCTCGTTCACAATCCTTTTCTCCTGGAAATGGAAAGAGGGTGGTCACAAAAATTAGGAACATTTTATGTTTGTTTTTTTTTACCAAAAATGAACTTGTCTAAGAAAAATCTGCCCCAACATACTCTTTGCCAGGAGGTGTTTGTTTTTGGGTTGTTTTTTTTTTTTTTTAGATTGAAGAACAGCCCCAAATCTGGAAGAAAGCAATAACAAAATGATACCACATGTTTACCAATGCAAAGTCAAAGGCTGATGGTGCTAAATGTGTTAGAGTAATAGGGAAATAAATTGAAGTGTGGCATATGTCGAATGGACTTGTATAGCTTATTGAGTCGTTTCATAAAACCATGAGCCGTGGTGGCACAGTGATTAGAATGCAGTATTGCAGGCTAATTCTGCTGACTGCCAGGGGTTTGATCCTCACAGGCTCACGGTTTGACTCAGCCTTATCCTTCTGAGGTCAGTAAAATGAGAACCCAGATTGTTGCGGGCAATATGCTGACTCTGTAAACCACTTAGAGCGGGCTGTAAAGTACTATGAAGCAGTATATAAATCTAAGTGCTATTGCTATTTAAATGTGCTATGTAATTTGAAAGCCTTCCCCTGCTGTTGACAAGTCTAAAGGATAATTGGTAGAGACACTATGGGTGTCTTTGCATTTACTTTGCAGATTTTCTTATACTGTAACCTTCTATTAGCCTAGGGAAGGAGCAAGGAGGTATAAATAATTATCAGGACTTCAGTAACTCTGGAGGTAGTTTAGAATCACAGTTCCAGAGTTAGAAGAAACCACTTAGGCCTGGAGGCCAATCTCCTATTTAGGCAGGAACCCAACTGAGAGAGTCCTGAAAGATGGTGGCCTTACTCCTGCTTGAACACATCTGGAAAAGAAGATCTCACCACCTCATTTAATATTTCATTCTCCTATCAACTTACTACTATTGCTAGGACATTTTTAAAATATTTATAACCCCCCCCTTTTGTAAATTAAGATTGCAAAAACAAAGTTACTCTGGGGCTATGGAATTCAGACATGTCCATCTGTGTGATCCCCCTTCAGATATTTGTAATGTGTCATCATATTCCTTCTCAGTCATCTGTCTTCAGATTAAGCATATCCAGTTATCTCTTTTCCTCCACACTGGGCCATGCACTTATGCAGAGGATGAGAAAGAGGAATTATGTATTAGTACTATATTTAAAAAAAAATCTAAAAGTCTGACCTAAGGGTTGCTGCTCTATATGCTTTTCACTACAGTTTAGCTGCCCACAACCTGGTGTTCTGTTAGTCTACAAATTCTTCCATCTCTATTGAAAAATAATGTCAAGTCATCCTTGACTCCTAATAGCTTCATTTGCACATCCATATAGTTTTCTTGGCAGCAATATGAGAGAAACTTTCCATTGTCTGATTCGGTAATGTTTTTCCTACTTTCCACCCTGTTTCTCTCCCAAGACCATCATGGTTATTCAGGTTTTCCCACCTTCTCAAGTACGTTTCTTCCGGTCTTTACTTATATGGAAACTGATTAAGTATGATAGGAATAGTAATCCATCACACATAGCAGGCACTAGATTGGGAAATGTGAGGAAGTAAAGTCGGGATCTCTGCCTGTGCTTTGGAAAAGCAGCTGCAGCCACCAAAATTACTTTCTCTGCACTTCCCACATTCATCCAGATGTTCATTCCTACATTTACCTACTCCAGCTGCCTGGCTAATTGAGCCAGACCCTGGTGTTTTCAAGGACGTACTGATGTCCAGAAGCAGCCTCACCCTACCCAGTCTTTTGACTTTACAAAAGCAAATGCCAAAACAAAATGGAAAAGGGTGTGTGTATAGCAGGAAAGATAAAAACAAACAACCTACAGGACAAGAAGCTGGGGTGACACCTGTAGATTGACAGCTATTATAAGCAGGCAAGAAGACTTGTATTCAACTGCCAGGACCACAAGCTAGTGTGAGTCCAGCTTGGAGCCCAGCAGTAACTAGAAAAGGAGTAACTACACTGAAACAGCACCACATCCCAATGGTGTAAGAAACTTTGGAAAAAGGCAAAGATTGCATGTTACCAATATAATCTAATACAGCTAAAAATTCCTATAATACTCCATTTCTTTTTCAGAAGAAAAGGGAGAGTGTGCTTACATTATGTGGTTTGGTGATAGTGATGGTAAGGCCATCTGGCCTAGCCTTCCTTGTAGTGACAGCCATTCCTTCTCGTTCGGCTCGTTTCTTGTCTTCTTCTATTTCCTGAAAAAGTGACATTTAAATCTTTTACCAGATCAGCTGCCAACAGTAAAACAAGTGAACATTAGAAACATCATGGTCAAGGGAGAAACATAAAGAAGCTTGAAGAAATTATATGTTCCCCAACAAATAGTTCTTGCTATCATTAAATATACATACAAGCCAAGATTTTGCTACTGTGTTATCTCCTTTGCTTGGATTTGCAAAGCTGTATTTGTACAACCATGCTCAGCTAAAATGTGGTTAGCTACTTTGCAGTTCAGTGTATTGGTAATCTGTATTTGTGGGGCCTAGGCATGCTATTCTCTATAACATAGCATTTGCATAATTTTGTGGCTGGTGGAACATCTACCCTGGCCCTGAAACAACAGACTTACCGCTATATATTCTGGATATTCTTCTAATGGGATTAGGTCAGCAGACAATTGTTAGCTTTGTTATACAATTGCTCATGGTTCCAGCAAAACTCACATTAATGTAGCCTCATTTCCCCCCCCCCCATTGTAATTAGTGAGATACTCTGTGTTAAGTCTGGTGCTCGGTGAGGCATCAACGAGGCAGCAGGTGAACTAACAACTCTTCATTTAAGGTTTAAACAGAAGCCTGGATGACTGCTGCTCCACCCCTATTTATACACTCAGCAACTAGGTGGCAGCCAATAGGATTCAAGTATTAGTTCCCGCTTTTAACACAAGTAATTAGCATGTAGACAGAAAGTCCGGCTCTTAACTGACAGAGTCTTATGACTGTTTTTTCAAGTAATTCACCTCAATACATTATATTCTGGACATCCAGGCCCACTCTCTACCCCAATTCTTAGACTCTGCCTTCCACATTGATAGATTGGCAGTAGTCACTTCTGAACATGGCACAACCTAGTCCAGTGATGGCGAACCTTTTAGAGACCGAGTGCCCAAAACCGCCCTACCCCCCAGCCTGCCCCCGCTCCGCCCGCCCATCCCTGCCCTGCTCCACCCTCACCCTGCCCGCTCTCAGGGCCATCCACAGCCCACCGCAGATCGCCTAGGTGGCCCTGCAGCGCCATGGTGACCACACCCTCCACCTGCACTCCACAGCATCATCTCCTGCCCAGTTGCCATGTATTTGGCTGTGCTGCTCTGCCTGGGTTGCACCCAGGGCTGACTCTCCTCCGGGAGCTGCTGATGAGGAGGGGGCTGCAGGGGGAGGCGGGGCTGGGGCAACGGCATGTGTGCCCACAGAGAGTGGTGCCATAGGTTCGCCACTACTGACCTAGTCAATCACAGTTCATCAGCAAGTTATGCAGACATATTTTATGTTATTTGTTCATGTTCAGTAGTTCCCTGAATCTAGAAAAATGAGTTAATGAATAAGCCATATTTAAAATATCTATGGATAAGTATGCTATCAATACACAGCCAGTGTAAATCCTTGTCCTTCATATTTCAGCAAATAGTTGGCTCTACCAATTAATATTCTGACCTGATTCACATGGAGAGTCATTTGTACAATATACTCTACCATGTGGTGTAAATCCAGCAGAATTGGTTGGATTTATAAATTAGGGTTCCATGCAAAGTTTAAATTAGCTGAAAAATTCATAGTTAAATTATGAGTGAGAAGCAGTTAGGGTAGTGATTAAAGGCACTAGGCTAGAAACTGGTAGACTTTGAACCCTAGTCCCACATTAAGCACAAAGCCAGTTCGAGTGACCTTGGGCCAGTCACTCTCTTCCAGCCTTAGGAAAGAGGCAATCACATGGAATCAAGAATAGCAGAAAATATATTGAGTAAAAGTGGATAAGGGTATTAGGCAAATATCACCATGTTTCTTTAACCATTTTGTTGAACAAATTGCATTTGAATCAGTTCATACAAAATGTTAAACACACACCACATTGTGGTTTATTATAATCTGTGAATCTGGACCATAGACATTCTCTTGCAGATTAACTGTTCCAGAATTTGTTCCAAATTTTTTTCTGAAGATAACTTTACAGCAATTAAGAGTTGGCATTAGTAGCAGTGGAACCTATGAATCTGTTTGTTTTGGTTCCTAAAAATGGGATTCTTATATACTTTTAATATTTTGTCAGTTCTATTGTAAAAAGCTATTTAAAAAACAAGTTAATTTGAAATTCCAATCCAAGTAGTAACTACACTGCTACCAACTGAGCTGTAAAGTATTTGTGATAATTAAAAAAAGATACAGCTTTCAAATCAAACTGCTATAAATTGACTCAAAGGTTTAACTAAAGCATGGATAGGCAACCTTGGCTCTTTTATGACTCGTGGACTTCAGTTCCCAGAATTCCTGAGCCAGTACAAGTCATAAGCCAAGGTTGCCTACCCCTGAACTAAAGGATTTGAAACTATATTAGGTAACCCCATTAAAAAGGAGAAGCTAGAATTCATACATACTTGGTATCTTCTCATGAGAGCTTCATTCTTCTTCCTCAGAGCTAGAATTTTTTTATCCAGTTCAACGTCTTTCTCTTCTTTTTTCTGCAACACTGCATCATCCATAGCAGCATCCTAAAATACAAAGAGAATCTTTAATGGAATTCCACAAATGACCAATGATGCCAAATATTATTTGTCCCGTTTGCCATTATATGACTAAAGATATATATATGTCATCCTTTTCAGAAATTGTACACTATCACATATGGAATGAGAGTTTAACATAAATAGCATTTGCAACACCTGCCATTTCAGAATGTATAAAAATGTCAGGTTCTCCTTTAGACACAAGATTTGCAGTCAGAAATTATAATTCCATTATATTTGAACTTAATCCACTAGCATTTTTTTATAGGGAGGTGGAAATATTGAGCAGGAGAAGGGTTATATTAAAACCAAAAAACTAAAACAGGGTAAGGAAAAACTTCCCAAACCCAATACACATTAAATATTGTAGTTCAGTGGCTATAATAAATGTAAATAAACAAACAAATGATCTGGAACTTGTGTTACTTGTACATGTGGTCACCAGGTAGTAAACAGAATGTACTATTGACTTAAAAATGGCTAAAAAGAAAATCTCTGGGTAAAAATATGAGTGGTTAGCAGAAAAGGAATAGCTTAAAGGATGATTTGGAGCAGAAAAATTCTAAACCTGCCCAAAGAATGAGAGTCAAACTATGAGATGCATCTGTATTTCTAAAGCTGCTTATTAAATCCATCTTATCTCAGAGTAATTGTCTGGTAGTTACCCTAAAGAAATGTTACAGTGAAGAAATAAACAGGGATAAGAGAAGGCCAGGAGATTTATGCCAGATAGGTTACAGCTAGGGAGGCTTAGGGGCTGCAATGAGACCCTTCCTGATTTACCGAGTTAGGGGAACACAGTTGGTCAGTTCTGCAAATTTCATGTCCATATTTTTCATTTAATTTTAAGCCTGGCTCTTAATAAAAAGATACCTAAATTGATGGTGACAGAGTTTCAGCTTAACATGCAAATTTTGTTTCTGCTGAATAATTTTCCCTGCAGGAAAATGAAATACAGGATTCTTTATTATCGTCCATCATGCTTGCAAGAAGAGCGAATTGGTCACTTCTGCAAGCTGACGAATTTTCATGACCATTTTTGTGCAACTGCTTTAAACATGATTGGAATACTACTTAGTCGGTTATTTTTAAAATCTGTTGTATATTCATTATGTGGATAAGCTCCGGGCAATGCATCATGAAATGGGAAGCCGAGTATTAGGTATGTACATATGCAGAATGGAACTGAAGCAATGTTCAATGTGAAGGATGCTTTTTCAATGCTGCATAATGCAGAAATAAGGGGTGGCCAAACCACATTCCATAAGAGTGAAAAATATTTTGCATAGGTAGTTATTAAAGTCATATAGAAAATTGTCTGTTACATATATAGGAAGGTCTTGGCATTTGTCTACAGTGGATAGATTGTTCAGTTTGCATGCTAATGCAGACTGACCTAATTTGATTTTCAAAATCTATTCACAACCCTAGATGAAGCTAAAAGCCGAAATCAATAGTTTCCCTTAAGTTTTGCAAAGCAGTTCATAATTAGAAATCTACATGAAATGTATACACCATATAAGGACCAAATACAACAAAGATATGTAGAGAAAATATGTAAGAAATTCATTAAATTAAGGGAAACCATTTACAAAATATGTGTATATTAGAAAAATGCACATTTTAGGAGACATTTATATGGAAATCTATATGAATTGCCATGAAGGTCTTTTAAAAAAATAAAAGTCTTATAGTGAGATGTAACAAGAAATGAGAAATTGAGCAAATTAAACCTCTGAGATTTTCCTATCGCAAATGATGACTGAGAGACAGTTTGGTGTGGTGGTAAAGGCATCAGGCTAGAAATTGGGAGGTTGGGAGTTTGAATTCCACCTTAGGCACAAAGCCAGCTAGGTGATCTTGAGCCATTTATTCCCCCTCAGTCCTAGGAAAAAAGCAAGGCCAAGCTGTTTCTAAAATCTTAATAACAATAATAATAAAGTTGGAAGGGACCTTGAAGGTCATCGAGTCCAATCCCCTGCTCAGGCAGGAACCCTACATCATTTCAGACAAATGGCTTTTCCAGTCTCTTCTTAAAAACTTCCAGTGTTGGAGCATTCACCGCTTCTGGAGGCAGGTTGTTCTAACTGGTTAATTGTTCTAACTGTCAGGAAGTTTCTCCTTAGTTCTAGGTTGCTTCTCTCCTTAATTAGTTTCCATTCATTGCTTCTTGTCCTGCCTTCAAGTGCCTTGGAGAATAGCTTGACTCCCTCTTCTTTGTGGCAGCCCCTGAGATATTGGAACACTGCCTTAGGACAGTTGAATTGAATTGAATACTGTGTTGGCCAAGTGTGATTAGACACACAAAGAAGTTGTATGTCTAATTTTCAGGGATGTGTCTAATTAACACTGGCTTGAAAGCACCCACCTCCCCACTATAAAAACAACAACAATGACTAGTAATGGCTCTTTGGGGTTGAGTTCTGACTTGGGATGATGGGGATTGAACTTGGGTCTCTTAGACTTTTCAAAGATAAACAGGCAAGGTCCTGAGTGGTCCCTACACAGTAGCCATTCCAATAGGATATGCCACAAAGAATCTCCATAGAGAGCCCTGACCTACCCTGCGGGTTAACATGTGCATTATTTAGACTACAAAAAGGAAGAAAAAGCCAAGAGTCAGGCTTTTCAAAAGTCATTAGATATTTTTTTTGGGGGGGGGGGTTAGGAAAAATTTAAATACTGGTCAAACTTTCTTCCTACTAACATTCAAATTAGTATGGGAATGGAACTATGGGAAATACCCAATTTGTTTCCAGCAGAAAGTCATTGCAAAATTCATGGAATGTCTGCAAAATTCATGGAATGTCACAGAATTGATAGGATTGCAGTTATTTTGGAAATACCCCTTATCTAGGTAGTACATCCCCCTTGTGTTACCAGGGGTAGGCAACCTTGGCTCTTTTATGACTCGTGGACTTCAGCTCCCAGAATTCCTGAGCCAGCATGGCTAGCTCAGGAATTCTGCGAGTTGAAGTCCACATGTCATAAAAGAGCCAAGGTTGCCTACCCCTGCCCTTAACCAATGTAGGAATCCACAATACTTTTACATTCCTAGCTATGAAATCATATATATTACTTTCAGTATTGGAGGCCATATATTTTTTAATATTATTTGTTGAAGAACATAAGGAAAAGGCTGCTGCTATGCTCATGTTGTGTTTGGGTTGTTTTTTTAAAAAAAAAATCCTTATATTACGTTCATAGGATTCCTGCTGGTCTTTGAGACTGTACAACACACAAACTAACTACGAGAAAGAGCAGATCATGTTCACTGGATATGTTCAGAGACAGAGTAGATATCAAGAAAAACACTAGAAGAAATGGAAGCACTGGAGGTCTACAAAAGTGATTCATAAATATTTTATAGTATTTTTATTAAAGGCTACGATTAAAGGATAAAAAACTAATACAAACTAAAAAATAAAAAAATGTAGAAAAGAAAAAAGAGGAAGAAAAATAAGAATATAGTAACAAAAAAGAAATATATATAAAGAAAAATATATACCTGTTTATCACAACAGGTATAAACAATTTTAATAACATCACCTTCTTTCAAAATACAACAAATGATCTTTCCATAACTTCCTGTTATCTACAAACAAATCCCTACATCCTTTGTTGTTCAGTCCTGCTTAATAAAAATACATTAAGAGTTAGCAGAGATATCAACATATCTGTTTTAACCATGGTTTAAGAGACTTAAGAAAATAAAAGAGTTGGAAGGAGGTCTTCTAGTCCAACCCTTGGCTCAGCCAGGAAACCCTATACCATTTCAGACAAATGGTTGTCCAATCTCTTCTTAAAAATCTCCAGTGTTAAAGCATTCACACCTTCTAGAGGCAAATCTTTAAATAAACCTTTTTATTCCTTCCTTTTATTTTTAACTATTTTGATATTTAATCCCTTCAAATAATATCCTAGAACTTGATTTCACAAAATTCTTAAAAATGTTAACAAGTTGTTTTTGACTTCCGGTGGTTCCAGCGATGACGAATGGCGGCGTTTTACAAAGCCGCCCGTTCCTGGTGCGTGTAAAAGCCGCAGGACTTAGAGGTAAGAGCTCCCCTGGATCCCTGTTATTTTGGGAATCGGAGGGTAGAGCTACCTCGGAGCCTGAGCAACTCCGCGTTCCAGGGAGACTTCATTCCGAAGCTTTTGGGATGAAGCAAGTTGCCGCTTCCACATCTGCTTTTTTTTTCCAGCTGCTTGTGAGTATTTGAAAGCAGACGGAGCAGACCAGGAGAGACTGTGCTCAAGTTTGATGGTGCCTTTAACTTCAGCAAGTTTCCTCTTCCTCTTCTTTTGTTCACTTTCCCTTTAGAAGAAGAAAGGGAAAGTGAAAAGTAAAATGGCGATCGTCTTTCTTGCCTGATTTGCATTACAAAGTAAAACCTGGATACAGATTAACTCTTTAAATACAGAAGTAAGAATTTGGCTTTTATTCTTTCCTCCTTTTTCTTCTCTATTTTTTTTTCTAAGAATACTTAAAAGAACTGTGCCCCTTTTTTTTTCTTTTTCTCTTTTTTTTTTCAATAAGAATCTTTCTTCTTGGAACTTAAGAAAATGGCTTCAAAACGTCTGCCTCCTGCCCCTAAGGTTCCTATTTCTTCTCCAATGCCTCAGCCTGCATCTCAGAAACCAAAATCACCTCCACCTTCTCCTCCTCCTCCTGCAATTTCTCTTAATGATTTACAAGATGCTTTAAAACAGCATGCCTTGGATATTAAGGAGGAGGTAAAAGATCTTATAATTGCAGAGAGGGCTAATACAGAAGAATTATTGGAGAAAAAGAACAAACAAGTAAGAGACCATATCCTTCTGGCCTTTCAGGGCTTAGCCCTGCACATAGAGAGGATTGATGACCAGATGGAAAAGATTACTGAAAATGCATCAAGGATGGAATTTAGAATGCAGGAGGTAGAGAACAAGATAGAAATTACACAGGATGAACAAATCATTTCACAATATAGGGAGATGGAACA